TATATATATATATATATATATATATATATATATATGATGATGATGAACTATTCTGTCAAGACGATCAAGTCACGTTTGTTGTGGTTAGTAGCATCTAACCCACTTACAAAAACATTGAATCATAGCACTGACTATTTAATGGACTGGCTCTGAAAGAGCTGTTTATCCAAAAGTCAGCCGGTGTTGCAAACAAGGTTATTGTGACGAAAATACATTTCCGCGTAACCTCATGATGCACTCTTGGTTCTCACGTATTCTGGTCTGATTCCGTGATAAACATGAATCATACCTCATTGTAAGACTAATTATTGACTTTTCTCACAGTGGGACTACAATTGAAATGCACATGAATCATTGAAAGAAGCATGGGAAAGACGATAGTGTTGGTCACTCACTTTGAACGGATATATGATCCATCCGAAAAGCATGCTAACCAAGAACAGCAGAACCAGAATACCTGAACTGACCAAAGCGGAGATGGCATGCAGTCGTTTAGCTCCGCCTAAAGAGGCAACCAAAGTTCTCGAAGTGGCTGCGAAAGCAGCATCAAGGCAAATCACCACCACGAGAATCAGGACACCGACCTGGAGGCATGTGTGAAAAGACAATTTAAAAAACAGACAAAGGCTGACTGACAGATAAACAATGCGATTGGCTATCGCTACTGAAAAGAATTCTAAAACTTAAAAGAAGCTCATTTCATGGAAAACTAACCAGCTAATCAGCAAGACATGACAACAGAAGTAAGGCGAATTTTCTGTTTCGCATCAGATGTCTATACATGCAACATCATTGACCTAATGCAAACCTAATGTAGCGGTCAGTTCAGAGACTATCTGGTGTGTGCATATGACTCTGTAGACTGGAAAAGCAACTCAATCTCGGAGGACCTCAGCTACGGGTGCGGTTTCACAGTTCAGTTAATTAAGCGCACATCGCATAACTGCTTGAGCGGTATCCATGCCTGGTTTGCAATTTAACTGAGGTTCCTGTTTCTTTTACCACTAGAGAATGTGAGCAAAACAATAAACATTTGAATGGGGAATTCAAAAGAAGATAACGTGGATGAAATTTAGGGTTCATTTGAGATCAGACATAAGCCAAGTTTTTTTCACCGGTATACGAACTGCACAAAGCATCTACAGAATGTAAATGATGCATACTGTTCATTTTAGCTCCGTTACCATGCACTTTTCTGCGCCGGTTTTGGTTGCTGTCTTCTGGCTACCTATTCAAATGAAGCACTTGGAGACAGACAGGAAAGTTAAAAGTGGATTCAAGGAGAAAATGGAAAATTTCAGTGAACTAAGACAGTATGGAATTGAGAAAATGCACGAACGCCAATGTTTACGACACTCAGCCATAGCATTCAGAGTCCGTAACCACCGGTTGCGATCATCCTGACGTCCGAAGCCACGGAGCCTTTTGTGACTTATGTGATAAAGTGTCTTGGTTGGGGTTTTCAGACCCTCGAGCAGGTCTTGCATTGACCACCCTTCGACTTTGTTCTACCCACTACCTGCATCGGTAAACATTGCGCACCACGGCAACCAATTTGGTGGCAGGCGTAAAACATGCTCCAACCAAGGTAATCTATGGAGGTCGACCCAAGGATATTGCCGATCCATAATCAATTCTGACACAAAGATAAAAAGAAACGAAGAGGGCAATCCTGACGAGAACAAACTTTTGTAGTGAACGCGGGCGAAAGTGTCTTAGGCTCGGACTCGGTTTCCGCTATTAGGATAAAGGCATCGTTATACTGAAATAAACCTCTCGGACAAACCCTTCACAGAGAGGAAGTGCCATTACTTAGAGTGGTCGACTGAGTTGAAGGCCGTTTTCAGATCAAGGAAGAGAGAAACGGTGGGTCTATGAAAAGAGTCTGTGTTCTAGGATTTGACGAGGAGTGAAGATGTGGTCCATATAACCTAGACCAGGTCTAAAACCGATCTGGTTCTCACCCGTGCATTCTTCAGGTGCCGCGGACAATCGACGGAGCTTAATACCGGCGTGCAGCTTAGAGACGCTGTTGACTAAACTAATCCCTCTGCGATTTCCACAAAGGAACTGGTCACCTTTCTTCAAGATCAGAAAGTTGAAAGATTGGACTAACCTGGGAAGATTTGCCTAGTCGAGGCGGAGGTTGTCAGTTGTCCATGGGGGGCCAGTTGAACAGAGCCTATCAGTCCATCGATCGAGAAGGCGTTCCTGATGATGAATAGGTGCCGTGAGATCCCTTAATTATCTCACGCCTACTTTCCTTGGTCCTGTACACCTAATTAAACGAAAAATATTGCGACTATTACCGATAGACGCAGTCTTCTCCATTTCCCTATATTTCCTTGCCCACCACTTCTCGCGATCCTTCTCCAGACTCTAGATGACCTGGCGTTTAAGACACTGGCACGCTTTGTCGTATTTCGAATCCGAAGGAATGGCTTAGCAAGGCTACCGAGGTCCATCGTTTTTTGTCATCGTGTGCCAGAATCCACCATTGTTTTGATCGACGTTTGGATCGTCTCCTTGATTGCCGTCTACGGTTCATTGCGACCTCCGGCTGATGGTTGAGCTGAGAGGCGATCTGGTAGTTCCGCTTCGAAGGCCCATTTGCAACCGTCACTGATATTGTATTGTGGAAATCCGTTTTCGGTGACTGTTCAGCGGTTGTTCATCAGGTGTAGGGAGAATCTCGCTCGTAGCAGAGCATGGTCCGTGTCCACGAGTTTTGACCAGTAGGAGCGGCAGTCCTCAATTGATCCACGCCATCGGTGGCTGATGCCGGTGTGGTCGACATGAGTCCAGCGCTGTGAAGTGGTTTGCAGTTTCCATGTAAGGTGATGTCGTTTCTATTGCGAAAAGTTGCTGCTTGACAGAAACAGTCCGTGGTCAGCATAAGGTTTTTTATTACATACCGGTGTGTGAGAAACAGCAGTCGGACCACATAGTCGTGAAGACCTGCTGTTCAGTGATCTTAACAGGCAAACAGCCCCGGAGCTTGGAATGGTGAACCACATAAGGCACCACTAGCTCAGGTGTGGTATAGAACCGTTCGACCACAATGCTGCCCACCACCAAAGTTGGATGGCGGTGATGGGGCTCGAACATCGGACTACAGCTTCAGTTTCAGTTTCTACAAACATTAACCATGCACTATCGTGCGCCGGTTTTGGTTGCTGTCTTCTGGCTGCCCTTTTGGATGAACATGAAGAGAAAGACCAGAAAGGTTGAAAGTAGGATCGAAGAGAAAATTTAGGATTTCATTGCACTAATATTGCAGAGAAATCGACAAGATGCACGAACGACACTGTTTACGACACCCAGCCATATCACTCCGGGTCCAAAGCATGCCGGTTACAGCGACCGCGCCACCATCACAGGGTTACAGTAAGCGTTCTCCGTTGTGCGTCCGGTTAGCTAGAACTGCATGTGAACCACGAAGAAGCCTTTGTGGTTTGTCCATGTACCCCACATGAGCATTGAAGTCTCCGGAGACTACCACGATGTCAATTGACCCAGCACCTTGGAGCAGTTCAGAGAGGTCCTCATAGAATTCATTTTTCATTTCTGGCGAAAAGCAATCAGTGCGTACAGGGATAGGAAAATAAGCAAGGACGCTTCGTTCTCTACCTGTTGACCCGTACTGAACCGTCTAAACGTACAGGGAACCAAAAGACAGCAACCAAAATCGGCGCAGGAAAGTGCATGGTTAATGGTTGTAAAAATTGAAACAGCGCATAGTCGGCTGTTAACCGGCATAGGGGCGAGAAGTAAACTCTCAGCCTCTACACCTGCTATAGAGCGAGCTTCGGATGCCAAATCGCAAACACACGGAGTGAAACATGAGTTTGTGGTCCGATCTGGAGATCACCTTCACCATCACCATCATCATCATCATCGAACAGTGTGATACAGTGAAACGAACTTCAACCATCGCTGCCAAACTGTCAATGAACACAAGGCTGTTGGTAAAATTAGGTCCATAAGGATCGAACCTACTTTGAGAGAGGGACAAGATGGTGAACCTCTAAGGCCAACACACAGAGTGCACAATCGAACACTGCGTACATACCGTTTCAAGCATTCTGCCCTGATAAGAAATGACAACAAGAACACCACTGCTCTCGGTTCGCTGATATATGCTTCAAAGTCTCCAACCAACCAGTTGTGGAGTCTTTCGGACCCCAACCTGGAAGACGAGAGACACCTACTCTACCTAATACCTCTGTGCATTTCTTCATGCCTCGCCTCCACGCCATCTGTTGATCTCCACGTGACTTCCTCAATCCCGGATTAGGTTCAGCGAATAAAGCACTGCGGTAGACGACAGTTGGGCATACGCAATACGTGCCCTAGCCAGCGAAGTCTATCAATCTGAATTCGATGTGCTAGCAGGTTTATATCTGAGAGACTCTCAAACACACGACGGATTACTTCCACATTACTAACCAGTTCGCTCCATCCCACGTGGGCTAAACTGCGTAAACAACGACAGTCGAAAGCCTCTAGTCGATTGATATACTCTATTGGCAAATTCAAGGTGTCACAACCATAAAGCAGGACTGAACGAACACTAGCACAGTATAAACGACCTTTCAAATTCGGTGAAACGTCACATCTACGCCAAAGGTTTTTCAGTTCTGCATAAGCTGCTCGAGCCTTGGAAATACGAGTGGCTATCTCTTTTGCTGTGCTCGAGTCGCTGGTCACGAAACAACCTAGGCACGAAGAGTGATCCACTACAATTAATATTATTGAAAAAATATTTTCCGCTAGTATGGTGGCCCAACGTTGCAGTCGGCTGGCGGAGTATACTGGGATACCTTTCTTTGACAGTAAAGGCTTGTGGTCTGTGAGAAGCGTGAAACGTCTGCCGTACAAGAACTCGTGGAACTCTTTCACGGCGAATACGATGGCCAGCCTTTCCTTCTCCACTTATCCATAGTTTTCTCAGCTGCCAATGGCGTGCAAGATGCATGTGCAATCGCTTTGGCGGATCCGTCTAGGAACGTGTGGGAGATGACGGCTCCGACGCCAAATTGGGATGCATCGGCTGCGACTGTGATTGGTAGGCTTGGGTCGTAATGCGTCACCAGGGGTTTCGAAGCTAACATCCGTTTCTACTTGTTGAAGACTGCTTAGCAGGTAGGCGACCACTCCCATGACACATCCTAGCGGAGGAGGTTGTTGAAAGTTGCTCGCACCTCATGCAAGGAGGGTAAGAACACACTGTAATATGTGACGAGACCCAAGAAGGATCGAAGTGATTTGACATCCATTGGTTCAGGCATCTCCAGTATTGCGCGGATATTTTGTGGGTCTGGCCGGCGACCGGTTGCGTCGAGGATGAAACCCAAATATTCGATGGAATGCAGGAAAAACTGGCACTTTTCAGAGCGTAGCTTGAATCCGGTGGACCGAATACGCTTGACGAGTGCTTCCATGCGTTCTTTCACCTGCTCCGGTGGTTGTCCGACGACGACAATATCGTCGACCGTGCCTGGGAAACCGGTTATCATGGAGTCCATGATCTTCTTGAATATAGACGGCGCCGTTTTCATGCGAAATGGTAGTCTCGTGTACTGATGCAGAACTCGTTGCGTGTTGATCGTAAGCAGTTCTCTGGATTCAGTGCTGACTTCGATCTGGGTTGCATTTGGGAGAAGTTGCAACGATGCTCGGGCACAATTGTGGAGGCCAAGGACCTCATCGAACATATCAGCAAAATGTGTGATAAAGTGGCGTGACATTTCAGTGCTCTCCGAACCAGACAAGACAGTTGCACACAGAATTGATGGGCACGTCCAGTAGCCCCAAATGTTCCAGCCAATCAATACCGATCAGGTTGAGGTAGGTTTGTGTCACCTAGCAGTCTCGGACGATGGATTTGCTACTCTACTGAGTAGCTTCAGAGATCCACCACAGGCACTGATGGCAGTTTCCGTTGTGAGTTGGAGGGTAGGGCGACCCAAAGACCCATAGACGACGAGAGGTGATGGTTATGTCGTACGCCGTGTCGATTTGGAGGCGGACCGGATGGCTATTGATGGGCACGGACACAAATCGACGATGGGAGGCCGCGTCTACTTTGAACGTGGCAAGTAGACTGCTGGTGCGGTTGTGCGATGGACGAGGGCGTTACGGCTGATGATGAACGATGAACGCCGACTTGATCGGCGGCTTGTGGCCCATTTTGTGACACTGTTGGCACCGGTGTTGTCGGAATGGGCAGAATCTGTGGAAATGCCAAAAGCCCCAAAAATGGCACGTTGTAGGTGGTTTGCGCTTGTGGTCGGTGCTGCAATGGAGGGATCTCGGTGACTTGCTGGAGGATGCATTCCTGGTAGTGCTCTCGGAATCCTAGACGACGGCAGAGTCCTGCTTGAGGTTCAATATTCTCTGGCACTCGGCGGTCAACGTTCGCAGGTTGGCGTTTGGATCCTGTTCGATGGTGTTCAGGAGCCGGGTTCTGATTTCAGCGTCTCTCGGAGACTGAAGCCCATACACGAATATGAGACATTTGAATTAGTCTTCAGTCATTGAGCGCAATTTGAACCTCTCACACTCCCCATTGACAAGGCTGGCATACGTCTGGAAATCGTCAATGTCATTTTTCACCAGCTTCAAACATTGATAACGAATATTGAACAGGGTTAAATTCTCGCCAAACGTGTCTGAAAGTTGTTTGATCGTTTCATCAAATGAAAAGTTTCTGGGGCACTTTGGTAAGATAGTGTTCTTGTACCGCTCGTGTCCTTTGGCACCCAGTTTGCGGATAAGTAATCGGACCTTCCAATCGTCTGATTCATTGGTGAATACAACTCGGAAAATGTCTTCCCATCTGGTGAATAATGAGTCGAATATGATGCCAGAGTCTGGATCTTAAATGAACTCGGTAATGCTCACCGCGATCATCTCTGGTGTGGCATGTCTGGGACTGGAGGCGTTCGGTGACTAAAGACTGAGCGACCGTAACACAGCTTCGAACTGCGACTGCTGCTGCAGGATTGACGTCAGTTCCTCCGCGGATACAGATATCTTGGATGAGTGAAATACCCGTCGCCAGTTGTTGCATCGTTACCGATCAATCACAATGTTAGACACACCAGTGAAATAGCTTCTGCTGAAGAAGTCCAACCTTCTCGGGGCGGTGTTTACACTAAAGTGTGAAGACAAAGGCGAATGCCCGGTGCTTTCCACTGAGTTGACTGACCACTGGTGGTCAGTTCAGGGTAGTTGGCTAAACCTTGATTCTAAAGCACCCACACCTGGTGTAAGAAGCTAGTGGCACCAATCCTCAGCGCAACCGAACCGGTCTCCAAAGTCAACCTTTGAAGTTGACCACCGTGATGCT